AAAAAGGAAGGAAATAACAAGTGTTGGTGAGGATGTGGAGAAAAAGGAACCCTTGTACACTACTGGTGGGAATGCAAACTGGTGCAGCCGCTGTGGAAAACAGTATGGAGGTTCCTCAAACAATTAAAAGTAGAACTACCATACGATCCAGCAAGTCCACTTCTAGGTATTTATCTGAAAAAAATGAAAACACTTTCAAGAAGATATACATACCCTTATGTTCATCACAGCAGTAATTATGATAGCCAAGATACAGAAGCAACTTAACTGTCCATCAATATATGAATGGATAAGAACGTGGTATATATACACAATGGTATACTACTCGGCCATAAAAAAGAACGAAATCTTGCCATTTGTGAGAACTATGGATAAACCTAAAGGGCATTATGCTAAGTGAAATAAGTCAGAGGAAGACGAATACTTTATGATTTCACTTATGTGTGGAATCTAAAGGAACAAAACAAACAAAACAGAAACAGACTTACAGATAGAGAACAAACTGACGGTTGCCAGAGGATGAAATACGTGAAAAGGACTAAGAGGTACAATCCTCCATTTACAAAATAAATAAGACGTGTAATGTAGGACACAGGGAATATAGTCAATAATATCCTAACAACTTTGTATGGTGACACATGGTACCCTTTTGTAATGTATATAATTACTGAATCACACTATGTTGTATGCCTGAAACTAACACAACATATTTTTTCAATTAAAAAAAGAAAGAACAGGGGCACCTGGCGGGCTCAGTCGGTAGAGCATGTGACTCTTGATCTCAGGGTCATGAGTTCGAGCCCTACACTGGGTGCAGAGATTACTTAAAAATAAAAATAAAAAAAAGAATAGCCTTCTGTTCTTGTATTGACTTTAGTCTTCAAAATGGTATTGTGACAAAATACATGCCACCAATCTCAACAGAGAACAGTGAATCTTGCAGGAACTTTTGCACAGTGAAAGTGGCTTCTCAACACAGGTCCTTCTGTCAAAAGATCCAAACCAGATTTGGTTTCATATTCAGTTCAGTCTTGTTTCTACTGGCTCCAATGCCCAGCTTTTTCTATTCCTTCCTCACATCCTGCTCACTCCACTGGGGGGCAGGCATGGTTTAATCTTTACCACAAAAAGATGATTTAAGCAGCTCAGTCTAGAGCCGGAAAAGATCAGGCTCATTAAGAAGAATCAAATGTATCAGACTGAACCCAAACATCCAGCTGGGCTGGTCTTGCTTTTGAAGAAAAAAAATACACCATGCTGGAAATGAAGGTGTCAAATATCCAAGTTAGTTCAGAAGAGAGATGCGAGATTAGAGCCTATCTGTTAGTGCCTCTTATTTTCTCAGTTGTTATCAGACATGCCCCTGGAAACACATCTCAGGATACGTATGAATGTTACCGACATACCACATCCTCCCACCCCTAAGTCAAAGCATTCTGTGAAACTGTTGTCTGAAATGCCCTTAGCAAGTTATAATTTCATACACTGGCTACAGACAGGCAGCAGATGTATTCCTGGGGAATGTTGCTGGTAAATCAAATTTTTATAATTCAAATCCTATTTTTAAATCTCTACGATGCTTACTATTTAAAGGAAGTACCTTTAAATCTCTTGATAGAGTAAAGGATCTCCTGTTAAAGAATCACTTACGTTGACTTTGTCAGTTTTGATTTTTATATTTA